TAACATTCAAATTTGCAGTATATATGCATGCAGCCGATTGTATCTATGTGTGTGCATCTGTATGTGCGTTTGATTCTCTGTCTATGTGTATGTTTTCATATAAACATTAGCGCATGTGTGCGTGTATGTGTGTTTGCATGTATGTGTGTATGTGTGTTTGCATAGTTCTAACAGTATATTCATGCAAATATGCATGACGCCTGACATAGGTGCGTATATCCCCCTAAAAGCTGTGGTTGGTACTCAAATCCTTGTAGAATCCAGATTCCGAATTTCAAGGCAGGTAAGCACTTCGCATTGAGAAAAAAAATGTTGCTACGTAATCTTATGTTTTAGGTTCGTCCATTTGACTTTAGGTCATAGGAAGCCAAACATAGTATATATATATATATATATATATATATATATATATATATATATATATATATATATATATAGTATATATGCTAGCATACATGTCTACGTACAATCTCTTTGCATTTGTGTGTATGTATTTACATATAGAAATATACATAAGAATAACCTGTGGGGTGCACACAGAATTGCATTAGGCTTTAAAACAGGAATTTACAACATATATATATATATATATATATATATATATATATATATATATATATATATATATATATATATATATATATATAAAAACAAAGTAGGAGGAATATTATATTAAGTCTAAGCAGCCTTCCCTCTGAAAGCAGGTGTGTCTTCTAGATCTAAATATAATCTGTCTGTCTGTGATTTATACTGTTGATTAACTGGCAGTATTTTTCTCCTTTAGTTGTTGTTCACATATTTATACAGTTTTTTTGTCCTCGATTGGCTCTGAAGAGGAGCCTTTTTTTGTTATTTTTTATGCTTTTTTATGCACCACTTTAACGGCGAGTGATTTTCTTATTACTCTTTGCTTTTCCCCCTCTCTTTGTTTTACATATTTTTGTATATATTTATATATACTTTTAAACTGTCCGTTTTAAAGCCCTAAAACAATAGATAGATAGATAGATAGATAGATAGATAGATAGATAGATAGTCGTCGGTATTTACTTGGTATTGGCTCCAAAACGATAGCAGGATCTGTTCCAAGACAAAAAGAAATGTAACTTCTGCACATCCTGTTCTATCTTTTAACTCAACTCGAAATTGCTTCTAATAAGTTATCTAAAGTAAATGATTTTTTTTCCATTATACAAAGATTTCAGCGTGAACTCAAAACCCAAGAAAAAACGCTGAAACTTGTGTAAATATAAATTAAATTCTCAAAATAACTGTGTGATTCTTAAGAAGAGAATAACAATAAAAATAATAAAAATAAAAATCTTTTGGTTTTAAAATGACTTGTTTCCCGTCTGTAGAACTGAATAGATTTATTAAAACTGATACTTTTTCATTATTTACTTGTAAATAAAAAAAATCCCATTAATTTGGATTAGAGAAATTTTAGATACTTAGATTTTTTAAAATCTATCAAAACTGAACTAATTTTTGCATTTAAAAAGAATACAAAACTGGAAATTTTTATTTCCATTCGGATTATTGTTCTGATCTTTGTTGATGTTATCACAATGTTTCGGTCGCTGTTCTTTCTGACTTTCATCAGGTGTATAAAAATCCGATTAACCTCAAGTGAATTCTGAGCTGTAGGTTATCCGGATGAGGACCGGAGGAGAAAACGACTGAAATGTTATGATATCAACAAAGATGAGGACACTCATCCGAATGTAAATCATGTAAATAATTATAACTCCTCACACTGAAAATTCAAACAGATAGGGTAATTATTTTAAGAATACTTTATTCCAAATTTCGCAAGAGAAACAAAACAGGCGCAGAGTATAATTAACGGACGAGGAAGACGTTACAGAAAAATGACTGCTGGAGAAACACTGAAGATCGATTTTATGGGTAAATTCCAATTCGGCTTTTCTATATTATCTGGATTTTTCGAATATTTTCGAAGGTTTAATTGTATATACACGCACATACAGATACACACACATTCACAGAATATGTGCGACTTTCATATAGAATATTTTTTCACCAAATTATTACACATGAAATTGTGATGATTTAAAGATTCAATATCTAATCACCAGTTATTTAAAATTACTGGCATAAGGATATATGTATAAGAAACATTTCTCTGCCTTTTTTGCGTGGAAAGTAATGAACATATTTTTCGTGGCAAGATATTTACATATAAAAATAAATTATAGTATTATACGTTAACCTGGCAATAGACAGAACTCTTGATTATAAATATGCGTCCACGAGATGACCAGATTCCCCCAAAATTCCCCGTCAAATGAGATCTCTGAAAAAAGATGATTGCTAAATTTAAATCTAAAATCTCTAGTGAGAACATCAGATGTCATCAGATGTTTGCAAATGTTTTCAACGAAAATCTTGTTTTCATCTGTGTATTTTGTCTATGTTCAAAGAATAATGAAAACTTAACTATAACATAGGAAAAGACTTAGGAGTGTAGATATCAGTCTGGTACTAATATATTTTGATGATATATATTTCAAGTTGTAACGTTTTATAAAACATACATTAATTAATTAGAGGCCAAATTTAATTTTAAAATAAAAAAGTTAACTTTCGCTTTTTAGTCATTCCTAAAAGAAATACCAACTGAAAAAAACAAAGTACAGGAATCTTCAAGATTTTGAAGAATAAACAACCGTGAGAATCGTTCATTTTGCCATTTGTAGAGTCGTTTTGCATTCAGCCAACGTTATAATGTTCGAGGGAAAAGTTACGACAAGCAAGAAGCATAAATTCTTAGATATAATATATACACGTCTTACAAAAATGTCAGTGTGCATTTCTGGTATATTTTTGAATAAGCAAAACAGGAAATTTGAGAGAAAGAGAGAGAGAGCGCGCGACAGAGAGAGAGAAAGAATATATCGATAGAAAACACTTGTTCGAATACGTACACTTTTTAAAAATTTACTGTCATGAAAACAAAGGCTTTCGTGGGAAACTGAAAATAGTATATATATATATATATATATATATAGATATATAGATACACCTAGTGTACCAGACAAACCTACCTAGGTTTCACCTAAACGGATCGTCAGGAAAGTTTCCTGACGATCCGTTTAGGTGAAACCTAGGTAGGTTTGTCTGGTACACTAGGTGTATCTAGGTCTGCTCTACGGTTGTATTGAGCTCTTTTTGTTAGTTAGTTGTTACTCGTATCGGGGTTTTCTTTGGGCTTCAGACCTGCATCTGTGCGATTTTTTTTGTCGGCAGAAGTTCATGTTTGTAGCTCTTCTTTTTTTAAAACCTTTTTTTCCTCGAGATTGATTTGATTAGCAAATCAAAATTCGAGGGTTTTTCTGAAACGAGTCTAGTTATCTATATTTATATGTATTTATATATATATATATATATATATATATATATATATATATATATATATATATATATATATAATACTTAGAGGTGACAGGCTGTTCATGCTAGACGTGGCCTGACGAATACGTTTAGCATGAAACAGTCTGTCGCCTCTAAGTTTTGACTGCAATGTTCACTTTTATATTTACACACGCTCTATCGCTGATATTGAGCACTTTATCCAATAAATATAGCACACCTTAAGAGTACGTTTCTTCATATATATATATATATATATATATATATATATATATATATATATATATATATGGCGACATATACAAGAGGGGCGAAACAAATGTTTGTAAATTTCCTCTCACCCTACATGGAATTTGTACACTGGCTAAAAAATTATAGCGGGTAAAATTACGTTCTACAATCAGTTCACACAATTGTTAAAATTCATATATATATATATATATATATATATATATATATATATATATATATGTGTGTGTGTGTGTGTGTGTGTGTGTGTGTATATATATATATATATATATATATATATATATTTATATTTATATACACACTTTTTTATATATATATATATATATATATATATATACATTAATAAATATGTATATACCTACTTTTTGGGATGCATCTTAAGTTTCGTTGTTTAGGTATATGTATATTTATTAATATATATTTCTTAGCTCTGCCTAACCTCATCGAGCACTATTATGATTACACCCTAAAGTAAATTTAGTAAATATTTATTTGCTTACCTGTGTATGAACGCTAGCGTGCGCATATACAATTACCCATACCTAGTTATTTGATTTACCCCCCTCTATAGCTACATATATATATATATATTTAAATATAAATATAAAAGTGAACATTGAAGTCAACACTCAGAGGCGACAGGCTGTTTCATGCTGGACACAATTGTCAAGCCGCCTGACGATTGCGTCTAGCATGAAACAGCCAGTCGCCTCTGAGTGTCGACTTCAATGTTCACTTATATATTTATATTTACATACAAGGTGGGGCAATTCTTTTTACTTTTTTAAATTCCTCGTAGAGCACAAGGATTACAATATAATAAGTTTTGTGTCGTTTTGACTTATAAAAAATCTAGTATAACTGATGTTAATATGCACCATCATCAGTTTTAATGATGGAGCAAAGATGAAGCTGAAGCTTACGAACATATCACGTTGAAGCACCAGTTCCCGTATAATCACCGAAGTTAATCAACGCTGAGCCCGGTCAGTAACTGGATGGGTGACCTACTTGGGAATACCAGGTGTTGTAAGCTTGGATGTGTGGGTGGTATTATGGATAATGACTCGGAATTGTTGATCAGAGTGCTGAGTTCAAATTCCACTTGGCTTCGTTATATTCACTTCCGGGCAAATACTCTCGGGAAAGGCATGAATCCATCTCTTCTCTCCCCATCTATGGGTTAATTAGTAAGACTTGTATCATTAAACCATTATTATCTCCAAAAAATAATTCTTACAATCTAAAAATATTTTCTGGCTTTAAATAACATGCAAAGGGTTGATAAGCCATAAAAATGTATCAGTCAATGAAGATGAAGCTAGTATTTTAGCACTACAAGAAGATCTACTTAAATCACCGAATATTCCATGCTATAAATAACGTGGAAGAACATGTATTAACAAAAGCCCCATCTTTCTGAATAGGAGACGAAAAATGACATCAATTTTGATCAAAAGCGAAATTGCGTAAATTTGAATGTAAATATCGATTTTTTAAGTGAAAGTAAACATATCACTAAAAAGTTCAAACAATTTATTCACATAATAAACATTTTTTTACCAAGAAATTCTTCGTACGTGAGATCATCATCAAAACATTGTGAAGATGATATAACCTTGTTTTGTATATCGAAAAGTATTTACCGTTTTGAGTTTCCTGAACGTTAAATCCGGGTGCTGAATAACTGCTGATACGAAAATTTGTCTGATTGACAATTATTTTCAATTGATAGTGATTTCTTAACAAACATTTTGAAAACGTTTCTCAAAATAATTTTTCCACTTTTCAATTTCATCCTGCTGAAACCTTATTGAATCTGAAGAAAGCTGCAAAAACAACTATGATCCTGTTCTAAAGGAACAGGGCTTATACAGAAGTAACAAGTGAGAAAGTGAAAAATTTTGATAGCAAACACAACAAAACCAGCAAAAAGTGCAAACGCCTTAGGCAAAAGATAATCACGATTTTCGATATAACACAAGGAGTTTTAAATTTGATCAAATTTCAAAATTACAGATGACTGACGCCAAATATAACGTTGATTACTTCGCGTATTCTGAGGCGATTTCCATCAGGACGAAACAACAAAATGCTTCAAAGCGAGCGTTGAAGTGATTGTTATCAAATAATCTATTAATATGCATTGGGCATCTTATGAGCGATCCAGAGAACGCCATTTATTTGACTGTTAAAATGCGTTTAGAGTCAATGATAAAATTCTATACACATACACATATACATATGCCCACGCATCTAGACATATATATTGGGTGACGCTGAAAAGTTATTGGCACGACCCAAGCAGAATGACCTGCAGACATCGAGCATATTCAGATCGACACGGCAATTCAACACTTATTCCGTATCGTTGATAAAGTTTCTTGAAAACATCCCTTCATAATTCTCATATTTTACATTTGAAACATTTATTTTCCGAAATGGGTCTGCACTTTTTAGCACCCTCAGTATACGCACATACGCACACACTCACTCAGATCCACATACATTTACAGATGTCTGTAAGAAAAGATATATATATATATATATATATATGTAGCATGTGCACACACACATATAGATATATATACTTTAATATATATATATATATATATATATATATATATATCATACATATTTAGCATATGTATATATATCTATGTGTGTGTGCGTGCGTGTGCTGTGTTTGTGTGCGTGTGTGTGTGTGTGTGTGTGTGTGTACATTTATATATTATCATTTGACTTACCGTAAATTGCGGCGTATAAGTCGACCTGAAGTACAATTCCAGCTCAAGATTTTTAGCTCAAAATTCTGAGTTACGCCCTACCCACCGTATAGGTCGACCCACAAACATACAGTGGGTTACCAGTGACTCAAAACTTTTAACCCAAATTGTTTTTAAAGCTTGAAAACTACTGTAAGACCTGTACGAGACAATTTACGGTACTTGGACATATGTACAGAAAATATATTTATATATATAAGTTTGACTAATGGTCAACAGAATTTTTTCTTAAGGATTTTTCATTGATTTTTTTTTTCTGTTTCTGACCATTTTATTTTGGTTTCTGGTACATATATTTGTGTCCTATGATTGAGTACTTTCGGATATCGTTAGCGATTATTCAAGACTTTCTTGCTGTTTCTTTTTAAAATATCGCCTTTTTCATGTTTTTACGTCATTGTTTATCTCGTCGCATTTTTATTTTATTTTAATGTATTTAATACGTTTGTTTATAAATTTGATATCATTTTACTGATTTTGCGTTTTTATTCCTTTCGCTTTTTATACTTATAATATTCGTAGTACCTTTGTGCTACTGTGAAAATTTATCAGATTTCTTATTGTGTTTTTTCCGCTGTGTTATTTGTTGATATTTGGTTTAATTGTGCTAATATCAGATAATTCATATCACCTTTAATGGCCGGATAAAATGATATCAAATTTAGGAACAAACGTATTAAATATATTTCAATCAATCAAAAAACAACACGAACATTCATGTGAACGCGCGAAAAAGCGATGTTTGGAAATAAAGAAAACGGTCCAGCACAAAATGAATCTTCAATAATCGGTAAAGACGACCGAAAATGCATATACACTCAACAATTTATTTCTTAATATGTAGCGGAAACCAAGAAAATGTTTCGAAATCTAGAAATAATAAATTATAACAAAGGATTTATGTTAGACTTTAGACAAATGTATATAAATAAAACTGCCCTAAATACACCTTCTGTCTTCTCTCTTTCACTCTTTTCTCTCTTTCTCTCTCTATATATATATATATATATATATATATATATATATATATATATATATATATATATATATATATATATATATCTGTGACTCTTCCGCTTTATTGGTAAAATATATAATCTGCTTCTGAAATGTCCTGAAAAAGAAAACGTATGGCAGAGTGAGTCGACATTCAACAAATGCGGCCGCACACATGAATTCAAGTAATTGCATATACTTTGATTGCCATGTGTCAATTGTTGTATTGTCACATCTTTGCTGTTTCGTTTTGTTACATTATCTTAAAAGGGGATGAAAAAATGTATTCCCAAAAGAAAAGGATTAATTTATTATGCACGCGAAAATATTCTTGGAAAATAATGAATATTCTTGAAAGAATATTTTCTAATGTCCTAAATCTTATATGATGATTCAGTTGAGTTAAATATCTGCCTCGCATTCGATTACACTGATGAGTCCTATAAAGCAAATCGTATAAAAAAGCAGCTTGATTTCATTCATGATCTCGACTACAAAAAACAAGAGTTCGGCTACACTCTTCCCTATTCTAAAATAACCTAATTTCTCCAAACAATTTATTTTATAAATGCGATTTATAAACTCGATAATAAATGCGAATTAAAACAAAATTAAAAAAAAAAGAATTAATGATGATGAAGATGATAAATCGAAACAATAATAATAATAATAATAATAATAATAATAATAATAATAATAATAATAATAGCAGCTAGAAAGTACATTAATTTTTCAATTTCATCTATTGATATACAAAATGAATATCTCGGTCAAGATTTAAAGAATGAAAATACTGGAGAGTCAAATATTGACGGACACTTTGTTTTATTCTAATTTTTATGTCACTATTTCTTGCATCCGTTTGGTCAGTCTTGTTCTAAAACATTACCTATGGCATATTAATATCAACATGTCAGATTGTCAAAATAAAAGAAACGATTTATCGTCTACAAAATTGCATCAAATATTTGAAAAAATGAGTAATGAAAGAATTGTGCAAATAGGTTTCGGGTTTGATTCATTTGTTATAAAATCTAAGTTGGATCGATTTATCTGGAAATCAAACTGAATTTCTGTTAACAACAACAATAATAATAATAATAATAATAATAATTTATCCCGGAAGAGGGCCTTTTACAAATCATTTTAATATAACAACATGTTAACTGACAGTCACGTTTTGATGTGGTTGCAACTAATAACCTTGTTTTCACATGGCAAAAACGGATAGCCACTTATTTATTTGGCTCGATTTCCAAGTTCTACGAGACATTCTAGTGACGACCAAAATATGTTTCCTCTAAAGAATCAATTATATTTCTTTATCGTGGCTGAGATAATTGAGTATCACTCACGGGTGCCAGAGTCCCGAGTTCAAACACAAGTAAATGCCAAACTTTCAAATGCTGGTTTACAATGTAGGAGAATTCTCTGCATTTTGAAATATTTGGCGTGACATAATCATGTCTATATTCCTGTCCATTTGTTTTTTTTTTTAACCGTTTTATCTATATTTATACAGTGCCAAACCATAAATCACTTTCGGATTTTCGTGTTGCACTTCAACACTTAACACTTATTTAAAATGTTTCCCCATGAATGATGTCTGTGAAATGCAAATGTAAAATTCGTTTACTACTTTTGCTTCTTTGTCTCTCGAAAATGTCATCCTTCTTCACTAATTATTTACGTTTTTCTAAAATTCAGTTCTTCCGGAAAAGAGAAAAACCTTTCTATCATTTTCATCTAAAATTTTAAGATAAAATATTCACATTATTGCAAAAGTTTCTCAGACTATTATCTTTTCCCTTTTTTTCACAATCTTCCCTCCGACAGGCTCTCTGGTTGTCCCTTGGGTGTATGTTACGTCTAAGAGTCTTTCAGTGTCGTCCAGAATGTCAGCGAGCAAATTCAATGAAACGTACATCTGGTGATGACTGGAGAACGTCACGGCCAAAACACAATATTGTTTGATACAAATAAATACACTCATATATTATATTAAAGAAAATGCACACACTTCGTTCACTGCGCGCACTTGCACACAAACACGTGTATATAAAAGAATACGCACGCACTGCCTGACAGTTTTTCAGCGAAGGTATGCAGGTTTTTGTGTGCTTTTATGTACAATTCGTCAAATGGGCACACGTCTGGAGAGCTCCCTATCAACTTTCTTGTAGCATTTACGGTATTCTGTAGAGTCAAATAGCCAGGTGCTATATTCCATGTTCTACTGATATGATGATATC